CTATGACCGAAATCCGATCTTCGGTAAAAAACGATTATTAACAGAAAGATATTTTGGTACAGTCGTTCAAATAACATTAGTTTTATTGCATATGCATTAATTGATCTTGGGAATCAGTACGCAATAAACGAATGTCACAAGAATTCCTGTTTTTCGAAATCTAAGTTATCGCAAACGAGCAATTAAAAAAAAATTGTACCGATCAAGTTGAAAGGAATAAACGTAATAAAAAATTTTACCTAACTGATTTAAATAAAGTTGCAGTTGGAAACCATGATGAAAAAAGAGGACAAAGCTCAATTATCGTCACTGTATGGATTTATCGTCGAAGCAATTTGGTCTTCATCAAAAATAGAAAAGCAGTAGGTCTCAAAATTTTTGACTGATATCTTGCAAACGTTAGATTTAATATGTCACATGTGAACAGGATCCGATTGCTCTTAGCCCATTTGCGTATTCGCAAATATAACGTCATCTAAATATTTTTCCATCAAATACCACAGGACGAATCAATCTAATGACACAGCAACCTATTGAAAGAAAGGAAACAAGAAGTTAAATTATGATAAAATATTATACGCAATGTTTTATACTATTAAGCACATTATGCATTAAAAACAATATTTTATACTAATAGAGGTATGTCAAATACATTGGTAAAATAATATCATAAGAAGGTTGATGAGACAAATATTTGTTTAAACTTTTCCCTGTTTTTTAAAAAAAGTATATTTACAGAACAGAAATATATTTACGGAACAAAATATCAGAACAATTCTCAGTTACAATATCTGATGGTATGTTAAAAATGAAAATATGGGTACATTAAATATATAAAATAAAAATTGGTATTAAAATTATTTATCCAAGTAAGTAAATTTTAGAAGAAGAAAGTCAGTACTTTTCGATAAAATTTTCAAGTATAGCATTCCCTTCAATACTACGACTTGTGTCTGCATTGTGCGAGTGCTTGTATACTGCAAACGGAAGATCAAAATGTAAAATTAAACGGAATTTTAAAATATAATTGATAACTGAATTTCTCAAAACTTAATTTAAATATTCATATAAAATAGAATTATTACTTTGATAACATTAATTAATTAATTAATATATATGCACCACCTTATTTATATAAGTAAATAGTATATATTTTTACGTAAGTATATTTAATATCAACTATTTATTATGAATTTATTATATATATGTGTCGTACGGATGATAGCTGAATAATTGCCTTAGAGTTTATAGTTCATAATATTCGCAATGTACACATGTACACATTGTATGTGCTAATGGCTATTCGAAACTCGTTATTTCGCCAGTTATAATATACATTGTCAACAAATCACAGAATATTCAAGAACATATTCAAATCTATTAGTAGTGTCCTTCGGGCTATCATCAACTGAACATCTAAACTGAATTCGTGTACAGAATTGTCGTGTACAGAATTATTATATTCGCTCAAATATCCAGCATTATTTCTAAGTGAATATAACGATTAAAGTATTTGATAACTGTCAATTACATTAATAAATTATGTTTGTAAGAAAACGCTTGTGCATATTCGATAAATTATACACAGAATATAATTATAATGAGTTTTTCAATCCGAATATCTGTCATATCTGCAAGAGGCCAAGTCAAGACGAGTTAATGCCATGTGATTCGTGCGGCATGGTCTTTTATTGTTCCATGGATCATCAAATGATGCATCGACGCTCGCATACGAAAATCTGTGCAGTTGTTAGTATTGCAAGAACAGAAGTCTTGGAATCGAACGCTCGTTTTAACTCAGATGATGAATGGAGGTCATCTCGAAAGAGATTTGTGGAAACAACTCATGTGAAAATAAACCGTGATCTAATGCCGCACGAGATAGAGATGATAATGTGCGCAAAGTCATGTCTCATTTGTCACCAACAGATGGGACTGCGAACTTGCAGGACCTGCTATTCCGCCAATTATTGTGACGAGCACCAATGGGATTTTAAAGAAAAACACGACTTAATGTGCTTGAATTTATTGGTACATTTGAATTTGAATATTTTACGTATAAATAACCTTATAAAATCGTATTCACATAATGCACAATTTTCCGTAATGAAAGAAGGTTGTGATAACATGTTTGCATTTGGTAATCGATACCTTGTTCCCCAAAATAAAAAGTCGAAAGATTGGAATGCGGATTGTTACATAACGTCGAATTATGTATCAGCTCCACTGACACTATACTACGGGTTAAAGGAATTCGCAAATTTATTAGAAGAAACACAGATTTATAGAGATGAATATAATCTTAATCGACGCTTCAGACGCAGTTATTTCTTTATCGTACATATCATAGATGCGAGTTCAGCAGATGTAGCGGGCTTACCATCATGGGAGATTTTCTTACATATTTGCAATGAATTTACTTCGGTTAAGAAAATTATGGAATTAAGAGTTATACTGGTTCAACCAGAAACGGATTGTGACAGGAATGAATATTACAATGTTTGCCCCAGATGCGTCACAGTAAACAGGAAACTATACCTTGGGAATGCACGTGTGTCATATGACGATTATATTCGCACACAATTGTATAAAGAAGCAAATATCATAATTGCATTTCAAGCAGAATTTAATGCGGGGAGTCCAGCGTTTGAAATTTTCCGCGCAACACAAGATCGTATATGTCCGTTTTTTTTCACCACTGCGTCACAAAATGAAGCAGAAGAGGGCATAATGAAGTTAGAAGAAGTAATGAATGTTCCTAGAGAACATC